GATCAAGGATGCTCCTCGATGGCCCTCGCCGAGAAAAAATGCACACGTCCGAGCGATGCCAGGCGTATGTATAAATCTTTCGGCCGCCCTGGGGCAGGCGTCCCCGACGGCGGAAGAATCTATTACATACCGTTCTTCGCCCGCTGACTAGCCTTCTCCACGTGGCTGGAGGGGAGGCACAGGCCAGCGGCGCCGAGGAACTGCTGCACCCCGTCGAATGCCGCCGCGCCGCCGGCGCGGTCGGGGCGCTCCGCCAGGCATGCGCCCGCGCGCTGGCGGACAGCGGCGCGCTCGCGGGCGGCGAACCTCATGAGAGGAAGAGCTCGAGCTCGCGGGGGCTCGAGGGGGCTCGAGGGGGCTCGACCTCGCGGCGAACCTCATGAGCTCGAGGGAGCGAGCCCTCGCGCTCGAGCGCGCTCGAGGGCGACGGAACACCGTCATGGCATGAGCTTTCGGAGGTCGGCGCTGCTTTCTTGGATGGGCAGTGGCCCCCCTTCGTGGCGCGCGGGGCGCGCCAGGGGCGGCACCGGAAGCGCCGTCATGGGAGCCAAGCACCGGTCCACGAAACCCGCGCGCACATCCGAGCGTGCGTTTTGTCTACGCAGTGTGGCTGTTCTTGACCAGCCTGGAACATATCCCTATCCCTATGTTGGGCATCGCCGCATCACGATGGCGATCTTAGGGATTTCCTCAGTTTCTGAGGGTGTATCCCTAAGATTGTCACCTCCTTTTGGCGTGTCAATCTTAGGGATAGGGATAAGTTCGAGGCTGGTGAGTTCTTCTTGTTCGACACCTGCTCACGCACTCGCAGAAGTCCGTGAAGTCGAAGTTCGAGAACTTGGACACCTCGGCGGCCAGCTCGAGGGCGTGCTCCCGCGTGGAGGTTAGGAAGCCCATGTGGATGAATGCATCGTGCAAGCGCTCGCGCGACACCTGGAAAGTTCCGGAAACCCTGGACCCAAAAATGATGACATCTCTGAAGGGGCCCCAGGACACACACATAAATACACACAAATAAAGATATTCCTCATATTTTCTCATTTTTTTCTGGGTTTCTGTCTTCCCCCCCACTTCCCATATTTTCCTATATTTTCTGGGGAATCGAGGATTAATTGTGTCTGTGTGTTTCTTTTCCTCCTGAATCTCTTGGGGGCCATCCTTGCTTCCGCAAGCTTCCACCTACCTTCCGCTGGCTTCCGCCGGCGGAGCCGCCCTCGTCTCATTTCCGCCGCCATCCGCCCCCTCCGGAGCGCGCCACCTCGCTGGTCCCAAAGGTCGTGAAGCGCCTGAAGGCCAAGAGCACGAACCTGTCCTGCACCTCCGCGTCGTCGTCCGCGTAGCCGGAGTAGATCTCGAGCAGCGTGGCTGCAAGGGGCACCTGCTGAAGTAGAAAAAAGAAAAGGAAGAAGGAGAGCAGGAAAAAGAACACGACGAATAATAACAATCAGATAAATAATAACACTCAATAAGAATAAGAAGAGGAGGAAAAAAACATCGGCATAAACATTAAACGTCGATTTTCAGAGGTCCGCATCCCCGGTTCGCGAGGGGGGGGGTCCCGCGCCGATCCGAGAGATCCGCGCGGATCTACAACCATCTATGCTCCTTCGTAGTTGCTCTTTGCGCGCCAGCTCGTGGCTCCCGATTGAGGGGCAAGGATCGGGGGGAACTGGCATAGGGGGGGTGCATGGACCTGGAATCGGCGATACATCGCCGACAGATCGGCGATGGGCCCCCGGCGCTGAATCCGCACCTTCCTGTACAGGTGGGGGCCATCGGGCCCCTATCGGCGACAAGTGGGCGATTGGGGGCCGATGCACCCCCCGCCTATGCCTCTCCCGCCTCACCCATCGGTCGGAAGAAGTAGGTGGAAACACGAAGCAGGAAGGCGATGAACGTAGATTGGGTGTCCGCCCGCCCCCTGAGGAGGACGGAAAGGTGAAGGCACTCGATCGTTGAAGTAGGAAGGCGCTCGAAGGAGATTCGAATCTGGGACTCCAAAAATACCTACCTGGAACAACCGATGGGAACCCCCGACCGACCCCGGTCCGCGCCGGATCCCGGTCCGCGCGCCGACTCGTCCTCTTCTGGGTCACCCAGACCTCGCGCTTCGCCCAACGATCGGGGATGGACAGACCCCCTTTAGTGAAACGTGGTTCAGTGAAAACGACCTGAGGCCCACACCTGGCGGGCGCAAGCCTGGAAAATAACGGCCACGGCGCCCTCTCGAGCACCGAGCACGGACAATCCACCAGTCGACGTGTCACTGTTGGGGGTCCTGTCCACCCCCGAAGCGAGGCGCAGCGCGCGGCTCTCTGCCTCGCGCCCACGCGCCCTCGCGCCCTCGCTCTCCTGGCCATCGCTCGGACGTCCCTTCCCTGTGCCTTTTCCCGGTTTCGTGCGTGGCTTCTTCGCCAAATGATCCAGGGTGCTCCTCGATGGCCCTCGCCGAAAGCAAAATGCACACGTCCGAGCGATGCCAAGCCTCTGGAGCGAGGGGCGCTCCCCTCCGGTCCAGGCGGCGACGTGCGGCGCGCGCTGCCCCGCCGCGCCCCCGGGGGCCCAGGAGCGCCCAGCATCGGCACCCCTCTCGCACACCGAAATCGAAGCGAAGCGGACTCGGAGGCCATCGAAGTCGAACCGAATCGAGCCGGAAGGATCGCGACATGAGCCAGAAGGGTCGGAAGGGTCGAGGCAGGAGTTACCAGCCTCGAACGTCTCCCTATCCGTAAGATTGACACGCCAAAAGGCGATGACAATCTTAGGGATTCGCCCTCAAAAAATTAACTAGGGAATCCCTAAGATTGGCATCGTGATGAGGAGGTGCCCAGCATAGGGATAGGGATATGTTCCAGGCTGGTAAATGAGCCCTGGGGCAGGCGCCCCCAGAATCGAATCGGCGAGTCGGCTCGGCGGTCGGCACGAATCGGATCGGCGGCAATCGGCATCCGAGTCGGGAGTCGTCGAGTCGGCGGGAATCGGCAGGTCAATACGTCGTCATTGAGATATCGGAGCCCGAATCGGAATCCGAAGCCGAATCGAATCGGAATCGGAAATCGAATCGGAGGAGTCGAAATGATCCTCGCAGGGGTGACCAGCACTCTTCCCCAATCATCCAACGCGTTGATACTTTCAATGCAGTTGAGGCCAGTCCACGAGGAACCTTCCACAAGAAACCCAACCCTGAGACCACAGGACGTGCATTGGATGTTTGGTGTGGGAGCGTCGCGCTCTCCATAGCAAAACCATCGAACCCCAAGAAACCAAGGGCAGCCTGGAGGCAAGCAAGGTGTTTCTTGGCATGGGAACCGCCGAGAACCGCCGAAAACTGCCAAAAGTCCACCTTTCCCTCAACGGACACACCATGATTGAAGGGGAACTGGGACCACCAATAACCAGATCCCCCATACTTTCCAATATTTTCGGTGTTTTTGTCTTCCCCCCCCCACTTCCCATATGTTCCTATATTTTCTGGGGACTCGTCGATGAATTGTGTCTGTGTGTTTTTCTCCCTCCTGAATGATGCCTGCACCAGGCAAGCCTGGCATCACCCGAGGGCCAGCCTGCTACAGGCGAGCCAACACGCGAGGCCCTGGCCGGCGCAGGTCAACGGGAGCGGCCGGGCGCCTCCCGTCGTGCTTTACAGCCGAAGCGTGTACTGAGGACGGGTGGTAAGGACCCCTGGAGGCCGAACTTGGGATCTGTGGTGCGGCGGGCGACCGGTGAAAACGGCAGAGGACGGGCCGCAGAGGCGAGGACACAAAGGGCACCCTAGATGAGGGCGTGCGTCCTTCCTGCGCGCGTTGACTGCATGTCTTCCACAGCGCGAGCACGTGCGGATCTCCTCCTTCGAGGCGCCTGCACCTCCGGGCCCTCGGGCGCCCGGGAGCCCTCGCCCTCGGCGGGGGCTGGAGGTCAAGGAGCGGGGACTGTAACCCTCGCGCGGGGATTGGAGAGCTCGCGCGAGCATCGAAGTCCTCGCGCGGGGATCGGGGCTCTGGCGCGGGAAGCGGAAGATTCGGGCGGGGAAGGGACGTGCTGCGCGCGGGGACCGCGGGCCCGGGAGCTCGGGATCCTTCCGGGGTCCTTCTGGGGCGGGGATCGGGCGCTCCCCAAGAAGGAACAGGTGTGAGCGCGGGAGGCTCCCGGGGTCTCCTTCTCTTGCCGTCGCTCGGGCGCCCATTCCGCGTGCACGTTCCGCTTTCGCGCGTGTACCTTTTGTTCGCACGAGGATCCAGGATGCTCCTCGATGGTCCTCGCCGAGGAGAAATGCACACGTCCGAACGATGCCAACATACGGGGCCCCTAAGATTCCCGACCCTTTCCCCAAAGCCGGCTGTCCTTCCCGAGTCGTCTTTCGACGGTCTCGTCCCGGGTTCTGGCGAAGGCACTGGACGCCGAACACCAGCAACCGCCTTGATTTGCTGGCGACGCGAGCATGCTGGGGAATCCCAGTCCTGCCCGACCTCGTGTCTCACTGACACGTCCGAGCGATGCCAACGGGAGGTGTCAGGGATCCTCTGAACCGGGTCAATCCAGACCCGGGTCAGCAGGAAATCAAAAATTGCAATGCAGGAAAAAACAACTGCAACGCAGGTCTTCGCAAACCCGGGTCAGCCAATACGCGCGGCCGCCTCGCGGCCACGAGCGGCTCGCTAACCCGGGTCCGCCAGAGGGGGTCTTCGCAGGATCCTGCAGGATCCGGCGTCCTGGCTGACCCCCGTTTGCACTGACCCCCGTCTCGAGGCTCCCGACTTTGTGTTTTTTCGGTTTCGTGCGTGTTTTTTCGCCAAATGATCAAGGATGCTCCTCGATGGTCCTTGCCGAAGGAAACATGCACACGTCCGAGCGATGCCCGGCTCCCGAGCCTATCCCCCCCCGAGCTCGGCTCTCCGCCGACCGTTCGGGACGCACTCGGGCGCCCCGGAAGGCACTCGGCGAGGCGCAGCTGCTGGCAGGCATCCCGAGGCTGGACTGCGGCAGGCCCTCCCAGCCGCGGTGGCGGTCACCGCTCTCCGAGTTTTTCGGAGGAAGGGCGTTGAGCGAGGAGGAGGAGGAGGTCAGGGAGGAGGAGGAGGAGGAGGAGGAGGAGGAGGAGGAGGAGGAGGAGGAGGAGGAGGAGGAGGAGGAGAACAGGGAGGAGGAGGAGGAGGAGGGAGGAGGAGGCGCCGAGAGCCCACGAAAGCGTCCGAACACCTCGAACCTCGAACCGATCCCTCCCGAACGTTGCCCCTGGCCCTATCCTTCGTGGCGACCCTCTCCCGGGGCGCCTGCACCCGCAGGTCCTCGGGCGCCTGGGAGGCCTCGCTCTCGGACGCGTGCGGGCTGGGCACGGCCGTCGAGGGGGACCTGCTGGGCTCCTCTGGAGGAGGAGGAGGAGGGAGGAGGAGGAGGAGGAGGAGGGAGGAGGAGGAGGAGGAGGAAGAGGAAGAGGAAGAGGAGGAGGAGGAGAAGGAGGAGGAGAAGGAGGAGGAGGAGGAGGAGGAGGAGGAGGAGGGGGAGGAGTTAGAGGATCGTGCCGCATCGCAGATGCATCGCTGAGGCATCGGCGACGTCGGCGATGCCTCGGCACCGTCGGTGTGCAGAACATCGGGCTGCACATCGAGCCGCATCGGCGGTGCAGCGCATGGGCGGCGTGGCGCGATCTTCCAACCCCACCCACTTCGACCCCAATGTCAGGGAGACGTACGACTCGGGTCTAGGGGACTCGGGTTGGCCTGACGGGGCCACCATAAACACGACGAGACCCAATCTGAAATCTGACGCGAACTCCCGCTGCAAGCATCCCGCGAAAACTGGACCGTCAAAATCTCGGACGCGCTCGTCAACAAAACGTCGGCAAATCCGAGTTCCATTTTACTCGAGTCTCGGGGGCGGCCAAGAGGGGGGCGGCCAAGAGGGGGCCGTCCAAGAGGCGGGGGCGCAAATCATGGCCGGCGGCCATGTGCGCGGCCCAGCGGAGGGGCCAGGAACGCAACGAAATAGGAAGGGGCGCCGTGAAATCTCAGGACATATCGTGGCACACGCAATGCTATCCCCCCCTACTCTTAAGTCGGGCGTGTCCCCCTACAGGGGGATCTTCGACGAAAAATAAAAAGTGCTCAAACATACTCCAAAATGGCCAAACAAATAATCAAAAAATGTCCCCAGACTATTGTTTGACTATTTTTGACCATTCCACCTGTAGAGGCACAGGCCCGACGTAACCCTAGTCACCACCCCCCTCTTTTCGGGCGTTGGCAGAACTGGGTTTAATGGAACCTGGTTTAGTGATTTGTGCCGAGGGCGCCCCCCCCGCCCCACTTCCACTCACCGGAAAACTACCGTCACCCAAAGAACACCAGCTACGGCAAACCTGGTTCAGTGAATCTGGCCAACTGAGGGGCCCCAGGGCCCTACCACTAAACGGGTCCCCTTACCCGGGGTCCTCGCTATACCCGAGAGGAGGAGGAGGAGGAGGAGGAGGAGGAGGAGGAGAAGGAGGAGGAGGAAGAGGAGGAGGAGGCGGAGGAGGAGGAGGAGGAGGAGGAGAGGGAGGAGAGGGAGGAGAGGGAGGAGGAGGCGGAGGCGGAGGAGGAGGAGGAGGAGGAGGAGGAGGAGGAGGAGGAGGAGGAGGAGGTCCTGGCTATACCCCCTCTTTGCCGCCCCCGAGCGGCTCGCGCTGCCCCGACACGTCTCTCCGGGAGGCCCCGCTCCTCGCCGCACGGCAGGTCGAGCCCCAGGCGGAGGCCCGCGCGGCCGAGCGGGCTCGGCTTCGACGGCGGGGTGCCCGCGAGCGGCGCCAGGAGCACCGCGTCCTGGATACCGTTTTTTCTTGTGCTTCGCGATGCGGTAGTGCGGGGCGGGAAACTGACCACAACCACTGCTTCTTGTTTGCGCCGCCTTCCAGCCGGCCGAAAAAGAAGCAGTGGTTGTGGTCATTTCCCTGGTGCCAAGCTCAACGAAAATGACCACAACCACTGCTTTGTTTCTGCGGGCTGGAAGGCGGCAACAAAAGTGCAGTGGCTGTGGTCGTTTTCACGATCCTGGTTTTTCTTGTGCTTCGCGATGCGGTAGGTATAAAGGGGCCCTGGGACACACACATCAATACACACAAACAAAAAGACTCCCCAGATTTTCCCATATGTTGGGGGCTTTCGTCTTCCCCCCCACTTCCCCTATTTTCTGGGGAGTCGCCGATGACTTGTGTCTGCGTGTTTTTTCCCCTCCTGAAGGTACCCGATCACACGAAACCTTTCACAAAAAAACCCAACCCCGACCCCCAGGACGTCCGCAGGTTCTTGGTGTGGAAACGCCACGCTCTCCAGGACAAAGCGATCGAGAGAAAAGAAACCCGGGGCACCCTGGAGGCAAGCGAGGTGTTCCTTGGCATGGGCCTCCACTGCAACGCCCGTGACCGGCTTTGTCCCCCCCTCCCTCCCTGGTCACGTTACGATCCGCGCCGTCTGGGAATCAACTAGCCGTTCCCAGACGTCGCCGGCGCGAATCGCGATGTGACTGGCCCGATCCCCTCCCCCCAGTCACGCCCGTTATCGCCAAGGGATACAATGAAGGGGCCCTGGGGCACACAAATAAATACACACAGATAAACACATTCCCCATATTTCCCTATATTTTCTGGGTTTTTGCCTCCACCCCACTTCCCACATTTTCCCTCCTGATAAGACACGGTCTCCAGGGCAGCACAAAAGATCCGGAACCGTGGCGCGCGAAGCACAAGCTGGAGTGCCCTCAGGTCCCCTGCAGTCCCCACTCGACAGGGTGGAGTGTTGAGCATCCTGTCGAGTGAGGACTGGGCACCCTGTCGAGTGTTGAGCATCCTGTCGAGTGGAGTGTTGAGCATCCTGTCGAGTGTGAGAACTTGGGGTCCAGTCCTCACTCGACAGGAGGGGCCTCGACTGGAGGGATGAAAAAACGACCCTGCCCTGGATTACAAGTGCGTGGTCTGTAAACCTCCTGGGACCCCCCAAAGCCTAGAGCCGCCAGGACGCGGCACATCACGCAGGGTTTACCCTGTCGCCGCACAGGAGTTTCAGCGCACAGCGCCTCGTAAACCAGGGTAGGGGCGTTTTTTCTGCCCTGGACACTCGACAGGATGGAGTGTGGAGCATCAAGGGGCCTGGACCCCAGATTCTGAAATGTTCTGGGCCTCCCGGCGTGCCTCCCGCGGTTCCCCCACGCTTCCCGCATCACCTCTTCGGAGCCACGAGCGTCCCGAAACGGGCCAAGGAGGGCCCGAGAGGCCTCTGACCTGCAACCCAGGCATGGTGGCGGGATGTGCCGAAGGCCAGGAGAGATAACGATGATTCGCATGTGGCAGAAAGTATTGGCCTGTCTCGGACGGGGACGTTTCCCCAAACCAAATTGCTCAAGGTTCCCAGGGTCCCCTGCTTCGGCCGACGGTCACTCCTTAAGCTGCCAGCCTTCGTATCGGCCACGCGGCCAAGACAACAGACCATTTGTTGACCTTACTCGTTGGCCCTATCCGCTATATGAGTGTCTCTTGCATGCGCGTTGATGTTGCCGTACTGTCTCACGCCCGCCGTCTCCGCTTGCGACCAGACTTGACTCAACCTGGGCCACTCCCGGGGGACTGCTCTGACCAGGACTCCAAGGCGGATCCAGCGGTGGCGACGAGGGCCTCAACCAGGCTGCCCTAAACGTCGAAACTGGAGGCAAGGAGTAGTGGCGTTGGAAGAGGTGGGTAGACACACGAAGCAGGCAGGCGATGAACGTGTTTTGGGACTCCGCCCGCCCTGGAGGAGGAAGGACAACGGAACCCCGCTCGACCCTCCAAAGAGGGAAACGCCTAAGGTCCCCAAATTCGAAACACCACAAAAAGGACGTACGCGCCCAACTATGCACATGAACGCGGCCCCTCGATCCGCGAGACTGGCCGCGTTATACGAACATTTGCGCAAGGCGTACTCTCGATATCAGCGTGTATTCACGTACGTGTACGTCCTTCTTTCGCTCCTGAAAAATACCTACTTGGAACCACCGCTGGGTGCCGTTTCCCTCCCCTGGCGTCCAAGGAGGCGCGACGCTGCGGAGGGCCCACGAAGCCCGGGATGGCGTGTGCGGCCCAGCCGCAGCACTCCGTGCTGGGGTCCAGGCACTGTGGCCGCACCTGCCCCGACCTGGCAGGGCGCCAGCTGTCTGCCTTCGCCGACCCCGGCCAGGCCCACCCTGGGCCCAGGAGCGGTGTAGACCCTGAGATCCTGGCGCCTTTTTTGAACGAAGGATTGCAAAACAACCCTTCGAAGGGTTTTTTTGCAATCCTGGGTTTTCTTTTGCAATCCTGGGTTTTTTTGCAATCGATCCCGGCCAGGCCCACCCTGGGCCCAGGAACGGTGTAGACCCTGAGATCCTGGCGCCTCATGTTCGTTGAGCCGAGCGTCGTGGCCAAATCCTGGGCCCAGGGACCATCACGCATCGACCCGGCTCCGCAAATGGCTCACAGAGCTGGGATCTGATAGCTCCGGAAATGATTTTTCGCGGTGTCTCAACTTTTCCGCGCTGTCGGATCTCAGGTTATGCCCTCCCGGCCTCCTGGCTTGGGCAGGGAGGCATGTACACCGAACCTGGGCCCAAGGTCGGCCTGGCTCGGACCTTAGGACGTCCGGAATGGGTATGGAAATAATGGGCACGATGCCCAACAACAAATGTTGTCCAACACCGGCACCCGCCGCTGTTGGGCGGGCGGTCTTCTGTCTCGAATGGACAACATCTGCGGCGACACCTACAGCGAATCCTGTTGAAATGAAGCAGACTTGCTGTTGGTCTTCGTACCGATTCTTTCCGTACCCAATTCGATCGTACCGAGGATCGGTGTACAGTAGGGGCGTTGACCTAAGGAACCCTAAATAAGGAACGAGGCCCCCTTTTTCCATAAGCTAACCTTCGATTTCCGGTCGAAAACATAAGGAAAGCCTGAGGCAAGCTGTGAAACATTTAAGGAACGCGGAGCCCCTCCCCAACGAAAAGGGTTCCTTCTTCAGGGCCCCGACTGTAGGCGTGCAGTTGTGCCCTCCGACGACCAGGAGCTCCGCCGAGCTGGCCGCATGGGCTCCGACTGGGAGCCCCGCGTGAGGGATCTGGGAGGCCCGACCTGCGCCGCCAGAATACGTCCACATCATCCTCCCTCCTCCCTCCTCCCTCCTCCCTCCTCCCTCCTCCCTCCTCCCGCCTCCCTCCTCCCTCTCCCTCCTCCCTCCTCGTCCTCCCCCTCCTCTCCCTCCCCCTCATCCTCCTCCTCGTCCTCCTCCTCCTCACCCTCCCTCCTCCTCCTCCTCGTCCTCCTCCTCCTCACCTCCCTCCTCCTCCTCCTCCTCCTCCTCCTCCTCCTCCTCCGCCACATCTCCGCCGCCTGCCGCGGGGATGTGTACCAGGGACTCGGGAAGCCGTGGATGTTGGGACGCATAAGAACATGCTAATCCTGTGTGCAACTCTCGGAGACGCACGTCCGACAAAAACATCTATATCTATATACATATATATATATACATAGATGCATACATACATACATACATACATACATACACACACATCTTATCGTTTATCGACTCCCGGACGGTATGGCCAGAGAGCGCCCGCCACAGAACTTCTACTAGAAGCTTCCTTGGCGTGCGCGTCGCGGGCCCTTTCGGGGCCGACGCTTTTACGCCGCGGCGCGACAGAGGCGATCCGCTCTCGCGTCCAAGAAACCCGGGCTACGGCATTCGGGGCCGACGCACATCTAGCATTACAGTCAACCCGTATCATAAGGATGGAAAATGAAGGGTGCAAGGGCCTTGGAAGGCCATGTCGAAGCCTTTCGAGCGGGGCGCGGCAAACGAAAGTGGCTGAGGGTGGGCCTGCCGAGAAGGCAAGGATGCAAGGGTACCCTTGGGGAGGTTGCTCGTCCACTATGCGGGTTGACTGTATGCTTCGGCGGTGCCGAGATGTGGACATCTGCCCGCCCTGGCGGGTCCGAAGCGGTGGATGATACGAACATTTCCTGGCGGGGGATAATACGAACATTGTCTTCTGGCGGTGGACGACCTTGCTCAGCCGCGCAGCCTGCAGGGGCTCCGACCAGGAGCTCCGAGTGAAAGCTCCGGGGGATCCGACCGCCTCAGAGAAAGAACAAACTGCATGAACATGTGCTTTCGGAGATCCGTGCGGATTTCTTGGATCGGGCCTGGACCATGCTTGCGGCGCTTGTGGCGCCGCGTCTGGCGTGCTCCGCACACCAGGGAGGGGGGTTCAGCGCCGATCCAAGAAATCTGCGCGGGCCTCCCACACTTTATGCTTATGCTGTTTTTTCTTCTCCTTCTTCGTAGCCTGCAGGGGCTCCGACCGAGATCCCCGGCTGAGAGATCCTGGGAGAACAGAAAGCGGTACTCCGCGGACCTCTCCCGCGGACTCCGCGGACTCCGCGGACTCCGCCCCGGCGGGGAGACGCCAGCCAGCCAGCCAGCCCAGCGGACCCGAGATCGTCGTTATCGTCGTCGTCGTCGTCGTCGTGGTCATGGTCGTTGTCGTGGTCGGTCCCGCGACCCTGGGGGATCGATAGTGGTACTCCTGGGCCTCTCCCAGGGGCCCTGGGGTGCACCTCCTCCTCCTCCTCCTCCTCCGCCCTCCTCCTCCTCCTCCTCCTCCCTCCTCCTCTCTCCTCCTCTCCTCCTCCTTCCGTCCCCCTCCTCTCCTCTCCTCCCTCCTCCTCGCCAAGCTAGGCCCGCAACGATGGGACTCTAAAAGAGAGATGCGCACCGTCTTCACCCTTTTTTTTTTTTTATTTTGGAGTTTTTGTATCATTTTTTTTGTTTTTTTTGTTGTTTTTGTTTCTTATGGTTATTTTTTTTTTGTGTTTTATTTTTATTTTTTTGGTTGTTTTTTATTTAATTTTTTTCTTTTTTTTTTTTTTTTTTTTCTATTTTTTTTTTTTTTTTTTGTTTTCTTTTTTTATATTTGGTTTTTTTATTTTTTTTATGCTTTTTTATTCTTTTTTTTCTGTTCTTTTTTCACCCTCTCTCCTCCTCCTCCGCCCTCCGCCCTCCTCTTCCCTCCTCCTCCTCCCTCCTCATACCTCCCTCCTCGCTCCTCCTCCTCTCTCCTCTCTCTCTCCTCTCTTCCTCTCCTCCGCTCCTCCTCTCTCCTTCTCTCCTCTCTCCTTCCTCCTCTCGTCCTCTCCTCTGCCCCTCTCCTCTGTCCTCTGTCCTCTGTCCTCTTCCCTCTGTACTCTCCTCTCGCTCCTCCGCCTCCCTCCTCCTCCCTCCTCCTCCTCCTCCCTCCTCCTCCTCCACCTCCTCCTCCTCTCCTCCTCCTCCTCCTCCTCCTCCTCCTTCCGCCTCCTCCTCCTCCCTCCTCCTCCTCCTCCTTCTCCTCCTCCTTCCTCCATCCTCCCCCTCCTCCTCCTCCCTCCTCTCCCTCCTCCTCCCCCTCCTCCTCCTCCTCATCCTCCTCCTCCTCCTCCTCCTCCTCCTTACCTCCTCCTCCTCCTCCTCCTCTCTCCTCCATCATCTCCTCGCTCTCTCCTCCTCTCTTCCTCCTCCGCCTTCCTCCGCCTCCTCCTCTCCTCCTCTCCTCACTCCTCCTCCTCCTCCTCCTCCTCCTCCTCTCCCTCCCCTCCTCCTCCTCCTCCCCTCCTCCTACTCCTCCTCCTCCTCCCTCCTCTCCCCTCTCTCCTCTGTCCTCTGTCCTCTGTCCTCCTCCTCCTCCTCCTCCTCCTCCTCCCTGACCAGAATTTCGAGGAGAATCCGGCCGTGGGCCACGAGGGCTCGCCAGGTCGAGCGGCGGCAGCGGCATGCTTTCGTGGAGGGCGGAACGACACCTGCTGTCCCTCCACTCGCGCTGGAGTGTCCACGATCTGCTCGACGTGTCCCTGGCTGCCTCTAATGCGGGATAACGATTAATAAAACAAATGGGGGGAACGATTAAAACATAGTTTCCTGCTATTTCTGCACCATTTTCTGACTGGAGGAGAACGATTTAAAACATAGTTTTCCAGCCCGCGACCGGTTTTTTCTAATCGTCATCCGGGGCGCCGCCGCGTAAACACGACCCCCAGTCATTTATTAATCGTCATCCTCCATTCTATATCTGGATGTACCTCAACTTGTTTGGATCTTCCTCGACCTTCCCGGCTTGATCCCCGCACGTCGATTGGAGAAACGTCGTCAAGCCCTCAGATGCTCCCTCTCATCCCCTGATCGGGGACCTACTGACCCGGGTCAATCCAGACCCGGGCCAGTCGGGCGTGCAGGATCATGCAGGATCCTACAAAATACTGCAGGATCCTGCACCCAAGCCCAGGTCATTGCACCCCTGGCTCTGCAGGATCCTGCAAGATCCGGCGCTGTGACTGACCCCCGTTTGCATTGACCCACGTCTCTTGCGCATGGACGCTAATCGCCGCTAGTCGACGCTAATCGGCGCTCAATCGACGCTCATAGACGCTAACCGACACTAAAGAGGCGCTCTCTCAACGACTCCCAGACGCTAATCGACGCTAGCCGACGCTAAAGACGGAAGTAAAATGGTATACCATGCTCCCGTGATTTGCTACCGCACAAGCCCTTCAAGTGTTGTTCCCATCGCACTGAAGGACCACATCCCAGAAACAATTTCGAGCACCCAGAACAGTATCGAAGCAGTGTCGAACGAATATTTCCTCCCAGGGCCCGACACGTGAAAGCCCTCAATTTTCGGCACTTTCTTGGTGCTCGAAATTCTTTCTGGCGGTCAAGGCTAAAGCAGGTTGGAACATTGTAACCTCAGAGCTGCTCTCCTCATGGAGGAGGAGCAGGAGGAGGAGGAGGAGGAGGAGGAGGGGAGGAGGAGGAAGAGGAGGATGAGGAGGAGGAGAAGCAGGAGGAGGAAAGGAGG